ACAAGATTATTTGTTATTACCACCTCCCCCTGCTCCACCGATATTTCCAGTGAGTGTTATTCTTCGTTTGGCTCATCTTTTTTTGTGGGAGTGAGTTCGAAAAACGGAAGCAGCCAGTATTATTGACATTATACAAAAACTACGTACGTACGGCGTATCTGGGTGCTTGTTCGGTGTCAGTCTAGTGACTCAGTAGGAGTTATCGAAAGTTTTCTTTCTATGTAAGGATGTGCTGAGGACAAAACAACCAATTGGTGAAGTAGGAAACTTGCATCTATTAAAATTTTTGATAGAAGTTTATGGTTAGAAGTGTGTCCATCATGTACCGTAGTGGATCAAAATTGAATAGGAAACGCTTTGTTTACTCACAAGTTGTTTTTGATATTGCTGATATTCATGCGAGCAATTCATTTTCCGTGAATCTTCTTGTTCGAAGGTGGTTTTTTGTCAAGAACTTCAAATCTTTCTACCATAATCCTCAGACAATTGATTAGGCCATTTCTGCTCACTTTACTTTTCCAGCAGAACGTTGAAATGGCAGGAAAATGCAATCCATCGTCCATAATGGTTCAAGTCCGAGAGGGTGGCGGACGTGTAGCTCAGTTGTCATCAAATTCGCAAACGAATGACGCTTATGTACAAAAACGATATGAAGCAAGCACTATTCGTTTGTCTGAACAACCTCCACCCCCTCCTACTCTGGCAGAACGATATCCGGACAATTACGAGGATGTGGGAATGGACGTTGAATCTTCTCGCTCCAGTTGCATTTCTGACTATGAGCATGGTGACAACACTGGTTAGTCAGTCTTCTGCTTTGTTAGGATCTCATCTGTATTCGACTGCTCCACTTTCTTTTCCGAATTCTAGATTTCTTAAAAGTACCATCTCGATTAATGCCGCGCTGAGGTATGATTGTAGCAGTCGAGTACGAAATTTGCTCAAAAGTTTTCTTTTTTGATGTTTGCGTTTAGCAGCTCGTGCCCTACAGTTGGTTGAACACTTTTGAGTTGGTGGAGACCGTACACCTTCCGTACACTCATCAGTTGAGGGGATAGAGTAGAGGCAATTACGATTGGGGTGTGGAGCGGAAGGCGATGAAATCGGAAAAACACTCGTTGAAAAATACTACCAAATTTAGCTTAATCACTGCGGAGCTTTTTGCCTAAGCATAATTAAGGGAGAACTTTTTGTTTA